ATTTAAAAATTATTTTTGCACTGACAATTTTTATCAAGATTCTACATTAGAATGTAATCGCAGTACACCAATAACCTGAGAATTACTATAAAATGTATAGTTAAAATGGAGGTGTACACAGCTTATCGCATAAAATTACTAATTGATTTTTCTATATGCATGAAATTTGTATGAGTGTAGATATATAAAACTGCCAAATAATAATACTTAATTGAAAACACGATGAATTTTTAAAAATTGACTTAAATGATTGCAGTTGGATTATAATAAAAGCGTAGCATTTGTACACTTGTATGTATGTACGAAATGTGACAAAAGGAGTAAGATTGTTCTATAAACTCATGTACAAATGAATTTTGATTCGCATTCTTTTTTTCGTTAAATGATCTTTGCTGACCTATTTCAACTTTACAAATATATAAATGAAAATTAGGAGAACAACTATGTGAAAAAAGATTCATCGGGCTGTTAAATAAAAATGAAACAAGGAGTTCTCATAAAAGATCTGTTCAAAATTTTCTATCTAGGTGAATTTTCGTAAGATAAATAAGACTATCCCCACTCTTTTCAGAGCCCGTAATCAACTAAGCAGCTCAATATTATTAGCTTACTTACGTTGTATTAATTTCAACTTCCTAATAAATGTTAAATATATACATTCATGATTTTTAGTAGTTGCTTTCTTTTATGCTGAATTTTTTAATTACTCACTTTTATTATTAATACTGAGTATTCTATTAAATTCATATGAAGAGATGTGAGTAGTACATAAAATGTAAATTTCGTTTATCTAAGGATGTGATACTCATTATTTTAAAAGGGTATGTTAATCATTGTTGTTGCAATATATTAATTAGTTTTACTAGAATTAATTTAGCTAGGAATACTTTATTATGGCACTTTACGAACTATATTTTTTGTTTTGTTCCGTGCTTGTTAGTTGACCACTACATTTCATTGCAATAAATTCATCGTGCAGCTGCATATTTATGTATCTATAAATAGTTAGCTATAATTGAATAATGAAGAATATAAGTGTATAAAAAGTTTATCCAAAGAAATAAGAAAAAGAAATAAATGGAAAGCTTCCATTATTTAAGTATTTGAATGCGAAAAATCATTTGAAATTCGAGATTTGTAATTTTAATGTATCTATAGAATTGAATTATACAATGACATATACAAAATTTTTATCTGTATACACTTACAAATGTACCGTAGAGATCTTTTTTATGTTAAATTTAGAAAATCACTTATAACTATATATATCTTTATTATCTCTATTAATATGAAAAATGAATTATTAAATAAAATAAGAAATGCAATATATATTGTTAATCTTAGTCTATGTATAATAAAATCTATTAAAATATTGTTTTATATTATTTTTTTCTAAAATTGTATGTAAAAATTATGTAAAAACCAATAAAAAGCATGTATTTAACAACTAATAATTGTATCGATTAGTATTAATTTTATGATATCAACATATGCGTATGCTAATATATTATAAATAATATTAATTTAAAAAATTCCTTCTATCCTAACCCTACTATAATTTAATGATTTACTTACAAAAGGCTAACAATTTAAAGCCAAAATAAATTAAGACAAACAAGCTTCGAATTAAATATATTCTTTAATATTTTTAAACTTATTTTAAAATTTATATTTAAAAAAATATATTTTTAAAATTCTTTAATATATTTTAAACATTAAAACAACCAAATAATGAACCCAAGAAAGTATAGCAGTAGAGTATAACACAAATAAAAAATATAATATAAAGTTAGTTTAATTACAAACTATCTTAATTTTGAAACATCAATTAGTAATATCGTTTCACAAGAATAGTGCGCAATGTTACATATGTATAACCGCGTACCTTTATTAGTTTGCATAAAATACGTTAATCTAATATTCCCATATTGTATATATAGCTTTCCGTGATTTTCGAAAACTTGGTGTACAAGTACATAAAGCGAAGTACTTATTAAGAGCTACGATAATAAAAAGTATCCTATTAATCTGTAACGAATCACGTTCTATTAACGACCTATTAATCTCTAACGTATTTATTATATGTACACTATTATTAGTTCTGATATTTTCAAGTTTTTGTACCTTCTTTAAGTCTGGCGAAGTTTAAAAAATTAAATTTCTTGTTTAAATGGATTAAGTGTGCAGTTTTTCGAAAAAAATTTTACACATAGAAATGTATGAAAGTTAAACATTTCCGTATTTACCATTTTTAGTGTACGGTTATACATAAATCTCAGTGTTCTACCTCTGTATAGTTAAGGAATAAGGTATTCTTTAAATTCAGTCTATTATTTATGCATTTGTTAACTTTTATACGTAACTGAATTTCAAATTATATATACTGATATTTGAACCAAGTTTGAAATAATTATTTTTTAATTTTTTATAGCATAAAATTAAATCAATGTAAGATACATAAATTGAATAATACAGTTAAATACGATTAATTTATATATTTATGTATTGAAAAATAAGGATTCATACAGAAAAAGTTCTATTCTTTAAAGTAGCTTTTAAATAATGGTATATAAGATACAATATTTGTTTTTATATTTTCGTTTTTTATATTATTTTATATAGTCCGTAAGTAAAAGTAGTCACAACAATTTCGTTCTCAAACATTGTTTATTTCAATATAATTAGGTTAGTAATTTAGTAGAAATGTATAAACATAACTTTTATTATGTTATACACACAAAAATATTCATCTATTATATACATAAAAATAATTTCTATTTTTATATAATTGACTATATGAATATTTATTGTCAATTAATGACTGCTTCCGAATAAAGAGATATGAAAAATATAAATTTCTAAAGTTATACCCTTCATTTTTATTATGATTTACAAGGAATTTTCTTTGGTATGGAAAGTAAAATTTCACTTATATAAATTAAAGAAGAGTACATACTTTCATAAGAATCTCTAGAAGAAATATTTATAAAAAATCTATTATTCTATAAATATTTATCATAATGAAAATTAACATTTTATGATAAATCTATGTAAATTTTTATAAGTTTTTTAAGTTTTAAGCTTTTACAATATATCTATTTAAATACAGGATTTAATAAAATTTTTGGATATGTTTATTTTATTGTTTATTGAACTTATCAAATAAGATAAGATACTTTTGAGTATGATGAATCTAATAATACTACGGGTAATGAAATTTGGAATACTTTTGAAATACTATAACACCATAAAAATACATTTTTATCAAATATGATAAATCAAAACGATTTCTGTAAACTTTCGGTTACAATTGCTTTATTCGTATTAATTTTACATTTTTAAAGTGATTGCTATTAAGTTAAATGTCTTATATTCGACAATTGTTTCCTATTTGACTGAATTGGAGTAAAGTTTTAAAAGAATTTTAAATAAAAAAATTCATTTACATTTGAAATAAAATTATAATGTAATTTAAAATTTTTTAAAGCAATATTATTATAATATATTGTTACTTTTTTAACAGCATGACTTAGTTCAATCTTATTGTCTTGCATCCCTCAAAAATATGTAGAATCTGATTTTAAATATTTTTATTATTAATTTATGATATTTGTTTTTTATAAATTAAATATTTTCATAAATTTATTTTTTAATAATTTCATAAATTTAATGATTATACATAAATATATGTACAATTGATTTTAATTAAAAAATATAGGTTTATAAATCTAGATAAAATGATCTTGAATGTTAACTTCAATTTTTTAAATTGAGACAGGAATTTAAATTAATCCTATTTCACTTTTTTGTAGTACTTTGTATAAGATCGCCATTACTTTTCACACAAATTAGATAAGATATTGTCTATATGTTCTTGAAAATATTTTTATGAGAAATAATTTTATTCCTGTCAATTATATTTTCTTATGATTTTTCATTTTAATTTTAATGTTTATTTTAAAAATATATACAATTTAAAATTACATATACTTCTATATCTATGCTTTTAACTAATTAAAATAATAAATATTAGTGTTTAATATTGTCTATATTAACATTTTAAGTCAAACAATTGTAAAATAAGTCATATTAATGTAGCTATGACAATATTTAATCTAGATTGTAATATAAAAATCTGTATTCTATTTGTTTTATAGATATTGTATACGTTACTATTATAATTTTATATTAACATAATTTTAATGTAAATTTGCTTACTCTTTAATCTAATATAATTAGTTGATTAACGAAAAAAAAAATTTGCTTTAATTTGATAAAATGTAAAATGAAATTGATCGACTTGAAACTTAAAATGTAAACTAAATAATATTAAATTTAACATTTATTTTGTATTTTTATAATTTTTTACATAGTATAATGTGTACAATGCAGTCTCCGAGCCTAATTTATTGTGAAAGTATAAAGAAAAGTGATGTTTATCTTCATCAACCTTGTGATGTTTTTAAGTATATATTAAATATTTTATATGAATAGCCTTTTAATTGCTAGTACATGTGTATATTTATATAATCTTATTATAAATATAAACTATCTTTATTATCTGAATGATAAATGGAAGCTTTATTAAGCGGTAATATATAAAAAGTTAGAGGATAATCGATATAAATTTTTTAGTGTAAACAAAATATGGGTTGTATTTTAGAGTAAGTTCTCTGGAATTAAAGCAAGTAGCTAGATATTCTTCAACAAATGATCATTTCATTTTAATTTCGTTTTACTAAAATAAAAATATACATTCATTTTAACAACAAATAGCATCAATTCTAAATAATTTATCGTAGTAAAAGTAATTTTAAACTATACTACTTAAGAGAATATTTTTGTGTTCATTTTTGTATGTAGCAGAACTTTTATTTCAATTTATTTATATAATTGTTCATGTACAATTCCCTGCGAAGAATTAGATATTTTAATACATAATTTGAAATGGTCGGATCAGCAATTTATCGGCTTATCATTGGAACTGTGTATATTTACAGGAGAGGCGCCTTTCTTCGGCAATAGAGCTTTTTCTACGACAAAAATGACGTCGCAACGATAATTACAAGTGTCTGGCGATTTGTGCTTAGGGAGATGAGTGGATCGCGGCTTGGCAGGGGTCGAGCGGGCCGCCTTGCGCTCCTCGGCTGCAGCGCCCTTGCAGTTGTCTTTCTGATGTTCCTCTACCGTTCGACGAATTCGGAAATGGCGCGACTTCGGGATCTCCACCTAAAATGCACTCAACAACAAGAGGCTCTTGCCACCCAGCTACAAGGTAAGCGCTTTTTAATTAAACTTTTAACAGGAGCAGATTGCATTATCTCCTTGAAGGATTTTACCTGTAGCTTGATACAGCTTGACGCGCCGGAAACCCAAACCAATTTAGTGTAGAATTATGTTATATTGGACGCTTATTAGATGAATGAAAGCTCAAAATTATAGGCAGGTCTGCGCCCCTATTTCATATAATAGTTCATAGCTCTACTGCATCATTATAAGACAGCAAAATAAGATGGAAATTTAAATATTATTCATTATATCCTTAATATTAACAGTTCAAGCAAAATCCTAAGCTGAAACGAACCATTTTTGTTTAATAATGATATTGTAATAGCTAATGAACTTATTTAGTATTTTTATAAAATTTAAAAATAAACTGCGAATGACAACTCTGATCTTAATACATAAATCTTATTGAAATTTAACGTTAATTTTAATATTTTTTAAAACTTACATTCCAAAAAATAATGCCCACACATTATTAATTTAGTATATTATGAACATTACACTTACATAAATCAAAGTTGCAAAATAATCTTAAAATATTATTTTAATGAAATTATCTATACGGATTATGAATTTAATTATAAAATATTATTAAGTCTCTCAAATTTTCTTGTCCTTTTTATAATACAGTTTTTATAATAAATATTGAAAAAATAAAGTTTAAAAAATATGGATGATTTTTTTAGTTTAAAAATTTCTTTCTTTTTTTTCTTAACAAAATTTTATAATAGAACAATTAATGGATATATTTTATAAAGTTGTAAAAATTAATTGTATTTTATTATTTAAACTTTTATAAAGATATATAGATAATTTTGTAAAATAATAACTTTGCAATTAAATGACTTATAAATTTTTTTTAATTTGCTTAAAGAAATTTTCCAAATAAAAGTACTTTAATAAATATAAAAATAAAATATATACACTGATAGTGTTAATGACATGATTTTTGTTTTATAAAGAGAAAATTTATTATAGAAATCTTAAAAATTTATAAAATATGTTTAAAATATTATATAAACATAATTTTGGGAACATTTTGAAATTACACACAATATTCAAAAACAAATTTTTTTCAATGGTTTATTTTTTTTGAAACTTTCCTTAATAGATTAACTAAATTGAACAATCATATTTTAATATATAATATACATTGAAGAATGAATTTATATTTTGGTATATTGAATTAATTTGTCTTTATTTTTTATAAAGTAATTATTACAATTCATATTTTTTGAAAATTTTAGAAAAATAATACATAAAAATTATTAACTTTAAAATATTATGCATTTTCCTGTGTGCTCTATTTGCAGTAATTTATGAGTACAAATTGCAACTTGAAAAGACCCTTTCAAACGAGAAGAGCGCAAATGCTGCCGCTAAAGAGGAACTTCAGAAAAAAGCTTCAAGAGAAAGATCCCTAAGAGATAAGGATATTATTGAGGCAATGCAAAGATTTAATTCCCTTCAACAGAACTATAAACTACTGCAGACTGAACACCAAGACTTAAAAGACGATTGCAAAAAAAAAGAAGCTGTTGCGTTAGAAGATAGCAAGAGGCTTGAATCGACGTTACAAGATCTGAGGATACAGTTGAAGAAAGCAGGAGAAGACAAAGAAAAGTCTATGGAACATTTAAAAATAAAATATATGGAACTAATAAATCAAAAGGAACAATTAGAGGAAAATTATAATAATCTCAAAAAACTTAACGGTGATAATAATGGCAACGTGGAGCACTTAGAAAAGCAAGTTATTCAGTTGCAACGAGAATTGGATGATGTTAAGGTATTAATTGTATACTATTTTTATAATTTAATTGAATTAATTAAAATAATTGAATTGAGCAAATAAGTTCATATATTTTGTATTCATTATTTTGTATTAATTATTATATTGTACCAAGTATATAGAAAGATTTCTATGAAAACTACTTTTAAATTTTCAAATATTGTGAAATTTTATTTCTCAACAAAGTATTTTTCAAAATCATTCTAATTAGATATGAATTTTTAAACATATCTTATACATTTTTGTATTTATTTAAATAGATCATTCTAAAAAATTCTATTATCTTGAAAGCACTATATATTACAACTTATATTATTAATTTTAATTATTGTATTATTCGTATAATAGAACATGATGTAATAAACGAACAGGAAATGGAATGTTGATGAACCCTTTATTTTCAGAAGTCTCCGCACTTTTCAATTGGTGTTGTAAAAAGTGAAAATACACAAATACTGCCAAGGCATGAAATCAGCTTGGATAACATCGAAAATAAGAAGTCGCCAGATATAGAAAACAATGAGGGTCAAGTGATGCGACCATCGTCTTTTTTACAGGTAAGTCCATTCAGCGACATATTACAAGTTGGCCAAAATCCGCAGCCCCTACAAGCACCCCAGAGCAACCGTTACCTAGACGGTAGCAACATTATAAATAATACCAACTTGAATAACAAGGGCATCAATATGGGCTATAATAATACTATTAGCAATATAAAAAACAGCAACAATAGTTTTAAATATGACGATTTATTGCCAAATGAACCGAAAAGCGATGTGCGATTTGAAAATCGAAACGGTAATATCGTACCTGCTGGGCCGAATGACATTAGAGATCAGTACGCAGGGCTGCCCATGCCCTATGTTCAGCAGCAGCAAGAACTAGTCCCGGATAAGGTAAATGAGGTCTCGCAAGAGAAGACCGAACAACTCAAACAGGTTTTGGTACCTCCAAATAATGCAGAAAAGTACTTAAACGCCGTGCAGAGGAAGATGAAAGCCAATACTAATCTCTCATCCAAAGAGCCGGTAATGGTACCGATATTCAAACCTCAAGCCGCTGGTCAACCCAATAATATCGACAATATGTATCTTAATCATTTTGTTTAATCGACTGTCATGAGTGATTGCGCCACGGATGTATGGAATATTGAGCGTCCAGTATGTGCAATGAATTTCTATTCCACCTCTGGAGTTCGCTTAATAATTTCAGTTTGTCAAATTTATCACATTTAGCTTAATTTAACATTTTATACCGATCTTTTTTATTTTAATAAACTAACCTCATCGAACATTATGCTTTGAAGAAAAGAAAGCATGATATTTATTATTAGTTTTGACAGACTAATGTTCCATATATACCTGGAGATATTTGATACTTCATGATATAAAGTTACAAACTATATCTGTACAAAATGTTTTAAACTAATAATTTTATTTTCTTATGATACTTTGGGTATATAAATAATATTAATTTGAAACAAGTATCATATTTAAAATAGGTAATTTAATATAATGATATTCAAGATGTTTTTATGAATAAAGAAAGAAAAAATACATTATTAGCCATAATGAAGTGCAACATAAAATTACTATTTTTTATGAATTTCTGTAACTATTTCAAAATCAAATGATTGAATTAAATTGAAAAAATAAAATTTTATAACAAGTGTATATTTCTAAAATACTTACATTTAGCACTTCATATAAGAAAATATGTCTTTATATCATTTCTTATGTTATAACGTTATTGTAAATATAATAAATAGATATTATTTTAATTATACATGTAATTAGTTTAAAGAAAATTCAATATATCAATTTAAGAAGTTTAATTAAATAAAAGTAACTTTATAACGTGGAATTTTCGAAATTTAATTGCAACAGTTATATTTGTGTTTCTTTTTTCAAAATCTGATAATGAAATATAATTAGTGAAAATGATTTGTAAGTTACATTATTTCATATGCAATTATTGTTAAATAATTGAAATATACAAATAAAGTTCTAGAATGTAATAAGTTTTGGAAATAGATTTTATATTATCAATTGCGTAAAATGTTCGAATATAAGTTTGCAAATCATTAAACTAGGACATTTTTTAATCAGTTATTTATTAGTTATTTTTTTATTGTGTGCGATTTTGTTTTTATAATTTTTAATATTTTATTAGATTTTAGGGGTGCTTCTTAAATTTCTTTATGCTTGTTGATCTCTGTACAGTTTTCTGTTCTTACAGTTAACTGTTCTTAATTAATATACCTTATGAAAAATTGTAACGTATCTCAGTAACTGCTTACTATATAATGCATCCTGACAATATACAATTAGTATATGTAAATTGTAATTTTTAATTATTATTAAAATTAGCACAAATCGAACAAAATTTTTGCCTTAAACCACTTTGGAGGTAATCGTTATTATATTAAAAATTTATGTAGAATAGCGGAGAAAGATCAGATGTCTAGTGCTGAATACGGTATCAGTAATGGTTAATTATAATTGATTCTTTATTTCTTTTTTACGTCAATAATACAAGTAACTTACATAAATAAATATTTAATTAATTAAAGTTAAATTAATTAATTAATTTAATTAAAGTTTAATTTAACTTAAAAAAATAATCAAAATTATTTATTTTAAATATTTCATGTATATTTCTTTTAAAAACTGAATTATTCATCAATTTTTAACAGTTTTTTAATTACTTATGTAAACGATTATTTTTTACTTGAATATGAATTTTAATAATATATTAGTTATCCATTACTGGTATAATGTACTTGTAGAAGATTTATTGGTTTTAATTTAAATGATAATTATATTTTACTTAGTATTTAATGATCATATTGTACTAAACTAAAAATTATCAAAAATATTACTACTGCTAGATTAAAATTGTTATATTTTTTTATCTTATTAAAATATTATTAAAGATATTGATAATTATAAGAAACGTATAACTAGAAAAGCATCTCAAATAGAGATGATTTTGAGCATGTGCCTGTATCTCTTACCTGTGTTATTTTAAATATTAATAAATTGTTATTATTTTTATTTGCTCGTGTTTTTTCTTCTGCCGTCCTATTCACGCAAATGACATTATCACTGACTTTCTCTATTAGTTTATCTTTAATCAAGAAGAAATTTAAGATGAAAATTTAAAATAAGAAAAAATTTACTATGTCGATTTAAATATTTTTATAGATTTGCGTAATTCCGCTGCGAGAGAATTAATATAGAATATTAATTTTTAACATTTTAGAATAAATTTTTTTGTTTGTTTTCCGTTATTTAATATTTACATTAGAAATTCAAAGTGGTAAATTACGTTTTTACGCATCTTAAAATTTTTATTATAGCGAAAATGAAATAAATACTGAAGTAGTTGATTGTTTTATAATAAAGCATGTTATTCAACATATTTTTCTCGAATTGTCTGATAAATACATTTTTTAAGTTATATTTTCGTTTTCTTTCTATTATTCTTAAATCGATTAAGCCAACATCTTGTTTTAGTAATTGAGGTAAGTTATAAAATCCTGGAAATAATATAAGTTGTTGATTGAATTTGTCAAGCTTGAATTTAAAGTTCAGAATTGAATAAAATACTTTCTTAATTCAATTCTACATATAAGTTATAGCAACCGTAGATTCATTATATGTATATTTTTATGTATTTTTTAATAAAGTACTAATAAAGATGTCAGTAAAATAGTAACAATAAAAGGCAAAATTTTTAATTTTTAAAACTATTGTAAATGTATGTAAATATTTAAAACTATGTAGATTAATTTTTCTAGCCAATTAAAAATCTATGAAATCACCTTTATAAGAAATCTAATTAATTAATTTGAATTAATATTTTTTAATAAAATTTATTTAATGTGTGTATATATGAATATATACCTATATATATTTATTAATGCGTATTCCCTAAATAGAATATGTCAAAATAATATTAATTTGAAAGAAATAATAATATAGGACAATATTTATACATAAGTAGTAAATATATAAGTATATTTATCCTTGAAACAAAATTGTCTTCGTATAAAAAAATATTTTTCATAATATATACCATCAATTTATTGTTATTCATACTGATGCAATAAGTTGAAAAATTATCAATATATCATTTTAACAATAACTACAATAAAAACAAACAGTTAAAAAGATATGGTTTATTAAAATTAAATAAAAAAATTTCATGGCATTATTATTAAGAATCTATTTTATATCCTAAAGTTATATGAAATTTAAATATATAAAACTAATACCAAGCTGTTTATTAATTTTTATTTATGCAACTAGATTTTTATATATTTTTATTCACAATAAATTTAAAAATCTTTTATAGAAATAAAAAATTTAATAAGTTTTACTAAATATCATAATTTAAGTTGAATTTTTTTTCATAAAAAAAAATAATTTTTTTTTAATATTTAAGTATTAATTTAATTTATATAAATAATTGAGTGATCGTATAAGTTTAATGTTTATGCTTTTTAGCTTAATAAAAATATAAATTGTATTATGGTTGAAAATATTTTGTAGACTTTATAATAATAACTGAAATACTATGAATTGAATTTTTTATAATTATATACAACAGTTACAGTTTATTAAATTAAAAATTCTTGAGTATAAGCTAAAATAATCTATGGAATTAAACCACAATTGATTATACTTTCAGATGTATTTCAGATGTAAAAAATCTCTACTAATAACTATTTATTTTATAGATTGTGAATGACAATGGAGATTACATTGTTTCATTTTATAATATAGTCCTACTATGGGTTTTTATGACATCTAGTATTTTTCATAATTATATCTCTATATTATAAGTATAATTACTAAATTATTATGAATGGTTTTCTTTATAAGGATCTGTGGAATACGTGTTTTTTTACTACAAAAAGAATATAGTATGCATTAGTATTACAAAGAGACATTGTACTACAAAGAGAATGTAGTATAATTGAATACAAATTGGATATAAAAAATAAAACTTATATTATTTTAAATTACTATATGTATACATTAGTATTCTCATTATCTGTAAATTAAAACGGTTTTTTGTAAAGATGTATTAACATTATAATTCAACTAATGGATCTCTAGTGAGACAGAATTATATATACAGCTTAATGCATTTATAATATTTATAACATTTATAATATTTCATTTATTTATATTATTATAAATTAAAATATACCGAGACAAAGGTTATTAAATAAAAAATAAAAGATCGTAATATTTTTTTTTAAATAATAAAACAATATTGATAACATCTATTTTTTGAAATTTATAAATTTATTGTCTCTATTTATATACTAAGAATCTTATTATGTATATATAGAAATATTTATTATATCGTTGAAAAATATTTTTACTTATAAATTTATAAATCAACCAATCTCGATTTTTCTAATAAATATAGTACTGAATTTGTTATATTCGTATGAAAACGAAATCTATTGTTTCATAATAATGTCGTACATTTGTTTATTTGAAGAAAATAATTATCAGGCCAAATATAATACTTAGGATTAAAGTTTCTTAAGATTTCCTTATTTAAACTATTATGTGTATATCTATAACAATAAAAATTAATTATTTAAAATTTCATCTACAAATAAACAATAAAAACATATTTAATGGATTTTATATTGGGGTCATGGTACGCTTTCGGCTCTTTGTAGAGTTTGACTGATTTGGAATGGCCTTCATTGTTACCCTGAGGACTCGCTGTGTCTTTGCAGGCAGATGTCTCGAACTCAGACGCGGACAAGATTGACGGCTTGCTGATGATGCAGAGTGCTTCAGAAAGTTCGAGCAGACCCTCCTCCGAGTTAAAGAGTTTAAGCGTTAAGGCTGCGGGAAAAGTGAAACTACCGATGGGTGTACTTCCGATCCCAAGGCTTATTGATGTTAAACCCGAACTCGAACCCCAGCTTTCCCTAAGAAAGCGGCCTCAGGAATCAGCAGGCCAGGCGCCGCCAATCAAACCCGAGGAAACTGAAGTTGATGAATTCGAACCAAAAGAGATTCCTAAAGTCGTTGAGTCGGCACAAAAACCACCTGCAAGGCACGCTGGAAGACACGATCCTGATGGTTGGTACAAGCTTAAGCCCGGTATTCAGGAAATCGGCGATCATCATCACGTAGAGAAAAGCGGGCAAGTATTCTGCTTCGTTAATCTAGTTGTTTAGTTCTTTAGGAATCTTGTTCTAAAGAATTTTTTCAAAAAATTTATAAAATCTGTATTCCTTAAAAATGACCTTAAAGTACATACTATCTTATAAATATTTACTTCTATAAATTGTCTTATATATATTTACACAAAT